CTCCCGGTAGTGGTCACAGCCATGGTCGGGAGCGAGAGGTCCTGGAAAGCGGTGTCCTCCTTCTGCGAGACTGTTGTCTCGCGGAAGGGGGGCGACGAGCGGGATCGCGAAAGGCGCGTCCTTTCAACGTAACATCGCGGACGGCTACTTCGACAGCACGGAGGAGGTCCCAACGATTTTCAATCGAAATTTGCGGCAATCCGCCTGTTTCGAAACAAAGAGGCATATTTCAAATGTTCATTATAGGCTAAGATAAAAAAGTTGAAAAAAGTGTCTGTTACTATTTTTGTACGTGTTTTGTCAAACATTTCCATGTACATTGTGACACAACTAATTACAATTAAATCATTAAATCTTAATTACCTAGACTAATTTTTAACTTCTCATAAACATTCAAATCATTTTATGGATAACTAGCTGACGTACCCGCTCTCGCTCGGGCAGTTTCATATTGCATATCATATTTTAGTTCGTATATACAGACTAGACTGTAATATACCGTGAATAAATAAGCAGCATAGAATTTTGGATAGTGCAGTATGAATCACATCGATTTGCGGCTTTTTAAACTTTTTTGTCTGCCTCAGCTCATCGTTAGCTAAAGAACATTGTCGCTGGACTGTTCCTTCGACTAACTTTGGCCAGCAGGAATAAATGGGCTGTTGAGCGCCGGGCGAGAGGCCAGCGACTGACGATCGAAATACAATGTAAACAGATAAGGAATGAAACGCATGAATGCAAATTTAATCTTTTATAGTTTTCAGTATACATTCATTAAAGTCTCACGAATGAACTGAGGAGATTCTGTCGGTGGAAATGGGTCCAAATACGACATCATTCGGATTATTTTCAATAATATATCATTTTCATCCGCAACATTCCGTATGAGTAACAATTGTCCAATTACTTATCTCATCTACGTCTGTTTACATTGTATGCCGATGGGTCGGTCGCTGGCCTTGGACGTTCGGCGAGAATCGAAACCTCGCCAGGAGCCGTAGGCCGTAGCTATTCCATCGTTCTCCTCACGGGTAGAATTGCATGCGGGACATGGGGCAACAGTGTAAGAAAAACGATACTGTCCGGCAACATTGTCTTCGCGTAGGAAACACACAAACCCAGCTTGATGGTAACGGGGAACAAAATTTATTTGTGGGTACTGCCGCTAGATGTCGTATTATCAAGCCGTTCCAAATATCGATTTTGTGTTTCCGCTGGCGTCCGATTGTTTACATCTGCGCTTCGATCCATTCGGAGTTGGCCCCAAAGGAGTCTCCCCCCTTAACTTCGGCTGGTGAGATATACCTGCGATCATCTGCGAACTGGGTGATACCCTGCCATAAACCGTTTCGGCCGTCGATGACCAGGATCGGGTCAGTGACCTCGTGAGGTTTGCAAACTGCAGGTGAATTTCCGGAAGGGTGAGTTCTAATCAATTTATTGCTGATTATTATTTGCTTAATCTAACGCAAGCTATGGCTTATTTCCGGCGATAATTCTGCAAGTTTCTGTACCTAACTTTTTCTTCGGGGTTTTTGAAGAAACTTATTCATTATGAATAACATTGTTGACAGTTATTAAACTACGAATTTTTATACCAATACCGAATTACGATCACTTCTCGTTTATTCTCTGTTACATTACCTTTTCGTTCACACGTTATTTGAAAAGGAAATTTACAAAAATGTAAATGTGCATTCGTCTTTTTACGTTACACATAATTTGCCTACATTTGCGTTTCATTCATTAATCTCTTTAAATAACAAACGACAGATGATAAAAAGTATGATTTTATTTGTTACGTCTTGTTTATTTGCTATTATGATACGCGGTTTCCTGCGATGCATGGTGACCTACTTGTTCGGAGCTTCGTAGTACAAGCGTAGCGCGTAGCCACCGCTAGCGCGGGAACTCGGCTGGCAAACTCGCGCTCTGATTGGTCGCGGTTTTTCGTGAATATCTCGGTAACGAAGCCTCAGTTTACATTGTTGCTAAGGAAAAAGTTGTTCCAATTCACCTCCCGAGTGCCCCATTTCCGGGTCGGAGGACATTTTTGGGACACCCTGTATATTCAATCACGAGTTACAAGTAATACTAAAACAATACGAGTGTAATCGCAACACGAAGGTATCAATTTCATTGAACTCGAAGGATTGATTTTTCTATTCGACTGAATTCAAATATTCTTGATGTATCCCACCGCTGCCACCAATTTCTGTTACATCCTGTGTGCGTAGTATGCAGACAGGTGCATACTAGAATAATATTAAAGGAATTAGGTAACTAAAAGTACCTTTCCCGGGATCGCCTCGTGTATCAGGCTTTGGAGCCTGTGCGTTACACTCGCTTAGGTTGAGGTGTTTCTTGTTACAGTAATTAGAGTCGTGAATGAATATATTTTGTTGCGTTTATTATAACGTTCGATAAATATCATAAACTCAGTGTTATGGTACAATATGGCTTACTTGCTAAATACTTATCTAATGATACTCGGTAGACGTCGTACCTTCCTTCGTGTGCGCTCAAAGAGGACCAAGTATTAGGTTTAGCTCGGCCGACGTAGGATGCGAGGAACGGATCACCGAATACGAATAAATGTGGATATTTAACGTCGTTGAAACACTAACTATCGCGACTATTTCTCCGAGCGCGAGTGCTAAACGCGACGGGTCGTTCGTTCGGTACGTGGTATCACGGTAATTACCGACGAATCGATGGTCTTCTGGTGTATTTATAATTTCGAAAAGATAATGGAGTGGCAAGGTTGAACACCCTGACGGTGTTCCACTTATCGTCTTCGCTGGCACTATGCAACCTGAGTACAGGGCAACGTCCCACCCAACGAGACGTAACAATTAAAAATTTTGAATAGGTTCGATAGAGCGAGGAGGTCAGCAATATCGATTCAAGATATGTCCCTAAAATAAACGAAACGAACATACTCTTACGTCCTTGATTAAAAAACACGTAGCAATAGGCTCTGAGATACATTGTCGTATTCCGTTGACTGGTAGTTTTTATTTTATTTAATAAGAACTTCACACAATTACAGAAACTTAGACTAATACGTTTGCGTGTACAATAGTATTCCTTGAGTCACTTCTAGACGGTTATACAGAGAATGTTCAGAGAATAATGCTGGTTTTTGAGAGAGATGTGTATAAGATATAGGTTCGGTAATTTGGAGAGTGGGGGATATGTTGAGTCTCGCGGTCAATAAGGGATGAGACATTGAGGGCGAAATTCGAAGATGAGTAAGAAAGGAAGGATGAGACCATAGAAAGTAGAAATTTGGGAAACATTCCTGTAAACAACTGTCGGGACTGATTTGCTGGATTTTTGGGATAGTTATCGGAAAGTACGCAGATGACTAATACTAATGTTACAAGAAGATTAGCGTTGGTATACAACTATACAACAACATACAGATTGTTGGAAGGGCTGTGTAAGTTTAGAAAAACAGGGCAACATTCACAAAACTGTGAACTCAGCAGTAATTTCATACACCAGTAAAGCGGAGCGTATACGCAAAACATTGAATCATCATGGCGTGCTTTGCGAGCTCGACTAAGTAGAAAGGGTATTCGAGAAGATGTGTGAATTTTTGTGGCGCTATGAGGTAAAAAAGAGTGCATAACATCTTAAAAGAAATTAATAAAACTTTCCTAAAAACCTGATCGAAGCGTGTAACTTTGGTCATTATAATTTCTGTCGTGTGAGGGATGTTGTATATTCTATTTTTGTTATTTTTATGAATGTAGATATCAAGCCCAGATAGCACATGACGCAATTAAAAACGCCTATTTTGCGGCCATTTTAGGTCTAAGGCGTCTTTAAGCCGTCTTCAAGGCGGCAGCCCCTGCCCCAAAGCAATAGACGACTTTCTACGCTGTCCGAAGTATGCCTAAGCACGGTGATTATTTATTTTAAAAGGTTCGCTTAGTATAACAAATTATGTCGGTAAGATGGGGAATGACAGTCAAATGGTAACAAAATTTCTTTCAAGTAGCCAAAAATCCTTCTCACAATCATCATTATTGTCAAAAAAACAACCTATTTTGAAAATTTCATCCAATTCGGAGCATGAGGGTTTTCGGAAGTTTAGTCGAATTCTGACCCTCTACAGTTCCGAAGGGTACAATAAACGAGCGCTACCATATGCCGTAATACCTAACCTGTATGCAACAACATTATTAATAATAAGTTGCCATTGAGATATCTGACCATTGACTATTATATAACAGATCAGGAGCAACTTTTTGGTACCATGATCTTTTTGTAAAAAGACCATTCCCTATCTATTTTGCATATGAGAAATTTTTGCTCCTTTATTTGTGAATATCTCTTTAAATATAAACTGTGCGATGGAAACAATTTCAGATTCGGAAAGAGCAAATCGGGAGCAATTTTTTAAGATATAAATTGTTGAGAAATATTGTAAAGTCATGAATTGTTAAGAAATATTAGGAAGTCATGCACAGTAGGCGCTCGTTAATTGTAGCATTCGTGGCTGACGAGGGTAAAAATTCCAGAAATATTGCAATATCTCATTAAATATAAACCGTGCGATGGGAGCGATTTCAGATTCGGAAAGAGCAAACCGGGAGCAATTTTTTAAGATATAAATTGTTGAGAAATATTACGAAGTCGTGTACAGTAGGCTTCCATTTATTGCAGCTTCCGGGACTGACGAGGATCAGATTTCCAGAAATATTGCAATATCTCATTAAATATAAACGGTGCGATGGGAGCAATTTCAGATTCGGAAAAAGCAAACCGGAAGCAATTTTTTGAGGTATAAATCGTTAAGATACGTTAACATTCGGCGCCAACTATTTTCCGGTTACTGTACTTCGTCTGTGGTGCAACAGACCATAGAGGCCGTTAAAGTCACTGACTACTTAAGAGTCGATACTACAGATCCCTTGAAATACAAAACTCCGTAATACACCGTAAGATGAATGGTCTCAAATGGACTGTCTGATATCTGGTCTGCGGTTAGAGATAAGTTCTGAAAGGTTGTGTTGGCCTGTGTTTTTGCACGATATTCTGCAAGGAAAAAATGTCCAATAGTTCAGATGAAGAATTGAATTGTGGAGATGTACCTGAGGATGTAAATTGGGTGCTATACAAAGATCGAGAAGAATGGAATGACGTGACTCCAATATCGCAGGATGATGGTCCACATCCTATTGTTGCAATTGCTTATTCTGAAAGATGTATGTATGTTATTTCAATTAAAAATGTCATTTGATTCATGCGGGAATAACTTTGCTAATGTTTTATATTCTTGGTGTTGTGAAAACATAACCTTACATTAATATCTTATGAAATATCATCTGTTAAGTAATACTGTGATGGATTAAAATTATAAAACAAATTGTCAGAATAATATATTATGCTTAATTATGTCATTGTTTACTTAATTATTCATATAAGATATATTTAAAAATAAGTATTAATACAGAAATCATAATATTCAAATTCTGATTATCAAAGAGTACACACAAATATTATGCAATAATATTAACACTTTGATAAAATAATTACATAGTAATACTTTCCATATTCTTATTGATAGTTATTTTCATTTTAAGTTTGCGACGCCTATAACTATTTCCGAGCTATTTTAAAATCTGGTGAAAAATCAGAACGAGCATTGGCTTTAACAGCGAGTTGTGTTTGGCTTAATCCAGCTAACTATACAGTGTGGCAATATAGAAGAGAGATACTTAAGGCTCTTGGAAAGGAATTACGAGATGAGTTAAAATATATTAGTGAAATGATAAAATACTATTCGAAAACTTATCAAATCTGGCATCATAGAAAAGTTATTGTTGAATGGCTACAAGATACCACTGGTGAATTAGCATTTACAGAAAGTATATTAAAAAAAGATGCAAAGAATTATCACTCATGGCAATATCGTCAGTGGTGTATAAAGACATTTAAGTTAGTATACTTTATCCTAGTTATTTTTATATATAAAATTTTGTTTTAAAATACATTGAATAGATAAAATAGATAAAATATTGAATCTAATATAATGCATATTTATTTACATTATACACAGTTTATTTGATAAAGAATTGGAGTATGTAGAACGACTTTTAAGTGAGGATATACGGAATAATTCTGCTTGGAATCAACGTTATTTTGTAATAAATAATACAACAAAATTCGAACAGAGTATAGTTGATAGAGAAATTGATTATGCCTTGGATAAAATACAATTAGTGAAAGGAAATGAAAGTGCTTGGAATTACCTTAGGGGGTACTGGTGATAATCATCTTTTATATACATTAATTTTAATACACTGTTTAGTTTAGTTAATATATGGAACATGTTACTTTTTAGCATTTTGATGAAGGATAGCAGTGGTCTAGGTTATAATGAAAAAGTAAGACGGAAATGTGAAGAACTATATTCAGATGGATGTCGTACGAATCATTTACTGGCGTGTATTATAGACATTTCTCAAGAAAGACCGATATCAGAAGAATCACCAGATTCGTTATTCCATATTAATAATGCTCTTAAGGTATGTTTTCTTATTACCTTCTCAGATACTCCTACCTTGATCGATAACATGAGTATTAATATTAATACTTGTTAATCCATTTAATTGCAGCTATGTAAAGAATTGTCTGAAAAACATGATAGAATAAGAAGGCGATATTGGGATTACGTTGGTCAGCAAATAATGGAAAAGTTGAAGCAAGAATCTTAACATTTCTGTACAAGTATGTAAATTACTTCACGTTTTTATAAAAGCATTTACTTAACTATTAACATACTGCAATCTTTTTACTTGGAAAGCAACTATGTACCATAAGTTTCTATGTTGAAACAACAGTAAATGTATTAATATAAAATAAATTGTTCATAAAATTTGATAATGCGTTTACACTAATATTATTATCTGAACATAAAAAGCGGTAACTATTTCTACGAAGTATACTTTCGTATAATAATAAGATCAAACTCAATTGATTTTTAATTTAGTTCTTCATCTGAGAAATAGGGTGTGTTCATTAAGGTGTCATACTCAATCAAGAGGCCAAAAAAAGAATTTTTCTCTAAAAAACTGTAAGACCTTTTCCAAAAATATTTTTTTTATTTATTTAAAAGGATATACTTTAAATTATCTCTATTAATTTTGGCATTACAAAATATTTATTAATGACAAAGTTATTAGCGATTCCCCGGAGGTCCATTTCACAACAGGGGTTTGTGGTGACCACGATATCTCGGAAGTGGATCATCTGAAGTGAGAAATTCCAAAAAAATTGGTTCATATATTAAATTATCTAAACTATCTAAATTATAAAACTAGGCATCAGAAAAAAAATCCTTCGTTCAAGCCCTACATTTTTGTACCCTTGGTAAGCCTGTAAAGTTTGAAGTAAATCCATACAGTGGTTTTTGAGATATTTGGTGAGCGATTTTGAAAACACTGTTTCGAGAAAAACACGTTTAATGTTTCTACCTGAGTTATGCGCTCGAGCGCAGAGTTCACTTTGAACGCCTGTATCTCCGCCAATTTTATTCGGATCACAAAATTTTCAGTTTCAAAAAATTGAAACATCGATTTTTTGAAGGTTTGTGACTGAGAAAATGACCTCTTAAACCGTTTCACGATAAGACAGAAAATTCGATGTAAACAGAAGTCTTAGAAATAAATCCTTAAGGGGCTTATGCGGTCAGTTGACTTTGATTCAACTAATACCTGCTTTTTAGTAAATAGAGTAGTAGAAAAATAATACATTCAAATAATCATTGATTATCTATGTATTTATAAAATAGTTACAACTTTCAAATATGATACAGTAACTAATTATGATAATAATTATATCAATGTTTAAGCTTTCATATGCCTAACAAGGGATATCACTCACTTGACAATCTTTAATTTTGTTCAAATCTGGTACAAAAGGTAGAGCTTTGAAAAATATTAGACACTTACTTTTTTAACAGTAGGTATTCAATGTGTAAGGGGTAAAAACAGCTCCCACAGTTGAGTATGAAAAATCTATTTTATTAAATACCTCGGAAACTAATAAAGATAGAAGATCCCAGATCAGCAGCCTCTTGATATTGTAAACTATAGACGATAAGATCTTTTGAACATTCATATCGTCCGTGAATCCATACTATAATGCCTCTATTAGATGACTTATGAAATTAAGAGATAATGTATATTCCTAATAGAAATTGCAATGCACAAGAAAGACGAAAGATGATGCTGAGACAACTGATATTTGCAATACAGTTGTATGTGGACAAATATTAAAAATGAGGTTTTCATGGAGCAATGACATTTCATTAGTATCAATTACAACGTGGAAAACTATGCAATTCAAACAAACAAGTTTAATGGTCATCATATTAAGTATTTAATTAGCTAATACATTGTGAACATTTGATGAGTGGAACATGTAAAGGAAATAATAGCTGTACTGTTTCATAATGCTGGAAATACATTTGAACAACAGTGATTCGCTACATTCTATTTCAATCACACATTGTACCTGCCTGTGAAAAGAACTATTCCTCAAAATATCAATGTATGTTCAATCATTATAAATCAAGTTGTTTCATAAAAGATAATCTACCAAAGAAGTACAAAACATTCATTGAAATACAAATTGATTTATGAAGCTGTTACGTCCCGCGTTGCGGTCGTTACTCTACTTATATTTTCGGGTCCTGGCTCCTTCAAAACCTGCTAAATCCTGTCTAAACTTACCGGTGAAGTACGCAGGTTGGATATGGAACGGAAGGGATAGGAAATCACTCTCGTTTGTAATAATAAAAGAGATATATTCTAATAGTTAAATAAAATAACAGACACAAATAAGTCTTAGCATACCAAAGATGATGAAGATGAATGATAGATTTGCGTCGCTTTCGGTCGGTTCGGTCGGGATTTCGGGTCCTTGAGGGGGCGGTAGACTCGCTGGTGCTCGGAGCCGTGATACAGGGTTTATGCACTGCGGGATACGTTGTCAACGTCTCGGACCTTGCCCTTCGGGGTCCGGTGTCTTATAAAACTCGCCTGTAGGCCGCGCGTAATCGCGAGGTCGCGTCGCACAAGGAAGAGATATCGTCGCGGGGCCCGATACCGAACAGCTGAGTGACGGTTATCGCTCAGCTCGCTGTCGCGTGCTAAAAATTAGAGCGGAGCGCGATTTTTGAAGAGCGAACGAACAAACAGTTGCGGGATACGAGCCGAAACCGCGAGAGGGTCTAAATGGAGAGAGTTTAACTAGACTCGTTTCATACTGGACTCAGACTGACCTAAGACTAAAACTACTGAGCTAAAACTGAGCTAAAAACTTCTGATTTAAAACTGACCGACTGACTGACTGTCTTTCCGGTTTCTACGATCCTTTTATATGTTCTCCCTGCCCCTTCCTTTATTAGCAAATGTGGAGAAAACGGGGTAGCACAGGCTGTGATTCGCGGTTGTTGAATCATCGAGGCGGAGTTTTAGAATTGTTGATGTTTCTGTCAGTGTTTCTAGGAAAGACGACCACGCCCGTTGTTTCCACGTTTGCTGAATTGGCGGTTTTCGCTCAGCTCGCGTTTCAAAGTGATAAGACAAAAATGTGCAACGAAGAGAGGTTCTGAGAATACAGGATATAACATCCCTAACCTTAGACTCGAAATAGTCTCGAGAGGCTTTTTCGAGATTATCCTCTGTTTGTTGCATATTTTTGGATGAAAATGACTTATATTTAAATGAAATCGCAGTTATGAGTGATCGCAATGATGAATGGGCGACGTGAATTATCGTAATCGATGAAGTATATATACGTATATGATGATAATAATAATAATAGTAGTGGTAGTAATGATACAATAGTAACCAATTTGTTAGTAGCAGTAAAAGTAAATGACAATATTGATCATGATTATTATAGAAGACATGAAATATCGTAACGCAATGAGGTGTGGACATGAATTATTAGATGAATATTTAACAATGCTCTTACTAAATGTTACAATAAATTTGAAAATAGGTGATAGGACAGGGTGTTCCTACGATATCATCAGTACTGTTATTGCGCGAGACTCTGGTCTTGCGAGGGTGCAGGTCCCATTATCAGTGAGAAGGCGAGTAGGTGGAAATCCTTGGTGAGGCTTGTACACATCATCTACAGTCTGTTTGTTGTTGATCTGCAGTAGAGGTACAGCATGTTATGCACAGGGACGTGTCGTAGACCCGATTCTTGAGGACCTGACAGTGTATCGACATCAATCATGTATACAAGGGTGCCCTGTCCGTTGACACGCATCTCCGCCTGACGAGTGGTTTTCAGTTTCTTGACTGCACGATCCTCTCCGCTCGTGATTGCGGGCCGTGGTACCTCCGGTCTTCGAAGGTTGATACGGTCAGGATTGACACGATGGTTACAAATATCAAATTTCGTGTTCTGTGTGTAGTTCCTGGAATTCTGACTCGGCAGTGTGTACTGACAACATTCGATGAAGAGAACATATAGAAATCTGTGAACCTATCATAGTTAATTACATAGGAAAGAGAGTGAGGAAGTTTGTTAGGAAATTTGAGCGGGAGTAACAGCGTTAGTCCTTGAACGAGTCAAGCTGACTGTTACAGTTCGCTACTATCTGGATTAAATGGCCGTCCATTGTAATCAGAGTCGTTCAAGGAGGCTTCAACCTAACGTAGGCATGTTTCAGCTTATCCAGATGTTTCGCAAACCTTTTACCGTTCCCTGCCATTAAGACCGCATTATTTTGCTCTGAAATTTCGCAGATTCTGTAAGGACCCTCGTAATGTTGATCGAATTTTGATAGACGAGGTTCCTTTAATACGTAGACGGACAGACTAGAGAAAAAAGCTACATCACATAGTTTTTTTAAAAAACCTCTTAGAGCTGTTGCCTTATACCTTGACCATCGCATATGATTATTGGCTATTATCTGATAATATCTTAATAATTTTATCTTAATTGCTTACAGCATTACCTGTGTTAGATTACCCTTATACTTAAACGTTTGCATTTTTGTTTGCCTTATATATAATCCCTTGTGTATACTAAATAATTATCATGGGTGAACGAAGGTCTCTATCTCTTAGGTTACGCCACGCTAGAATGCACGGTGTTCCCTCCATAGCGCCCAATTTTAGTCGATTAATGACATCTGCTGCTGAGGCTTTAACTCCCCTTATGTTGATAGCTACTGGTGATACACTGGCAGCAGAATACCAGAATCAAGTATGACCCTTCACTTCCTGGCACGCTCGACCTCTCATTGCCGAGGCTCTAGCTCAGCAATGGGCAACGAGTTATGGTGCGAGGGACGCAGACCAAATTATGGCTCGTGCCTATGGGGAACTGGCAGGGATTTCTTCTGTGCGGGATAAAAACACAATCCAAGACCGTACTAGAGCCAGAAATAAAGTGGTCCTATTGTTAAGGCAATCTCCCCCTAACATAAATGAAATTCGCTCTTTAATAGGTGACATAATACGAGCATGTCAAAGGACTAATGGCGAATTAGTCCCTCGTTATGATTCATTACCTCATGTGGCTGTGGAATTCGCAGTAAGTCACCAAACGGTGATGTTCCACAAACTAAAGGGACATTTAATCCCATCCTCGTTCTTTTCTCTAGAGCCAGCGAGAGCAGCTTGGAATCAACTAAGTGATCCCAATATTCACTTTATTGATCTAGAAGGTATAGACTTCGAGATCACCC